CTTGAGCCAGCACGTCTTGGTGTTGACCACCCACGCGATGCAGCTGATCGTGTTGGAGCACGCGGCGCAGCACGCATCCGCTTGCGCTTGGTCGGAGCCCGAGACCGTGAAGCTCGTGATATCGTTGCCATTGTAGTCAACATCGCGCACAAGCGTCGAGCACGTAGACGAGGAGAGCGACGGCACCGTGTACGTCCCCGCCATCGCGCCGAGCTTGACACCCGACTTGACCCACGCCTTCTTGAGCCAGCACGTGTTGCTGTACGTCACAAAGCCGACGCAGCCGTCCTGCTTGGAGCACGCATCGCAGCACTGGTTGGTCTGATCTTGGGGCGACCCCGTCACGGCAAAGTTCTTGATGTCGTTGCCGCTGAAGTCGACGTCCTGGGTAAGACTGCCGCATGTACCCGACGTGATCTTGGGCTGCGTGTACATGCCCGAGAGCAAGCCCGTGTTGTCCCCAGAGTAGACCATCTTGTTCTTGAGCCAGCACGTATTGCCATTGACAACCCAGCCAATGCAGCTGATGGTGTTGGAGCACGCATCACAGCAGAGGTCGGCTTGCGCTTGGTCGTCGCCCTTGACGGTAAACGACTTGATGTCGTTGCCCGAATAGTCGATGTTGCGCTTGAGCGTCGAGCACGTGTTGGACGTAAACATGTACGACGCCGCGATGAGACCGGCATTGGCACCGGACTGCACCATCTTGCTCTTCATGTAGCACGTCTTGGTGTTGACAACAAAGCCGGCACAGCCGTCCTGGTTGGCACACGCGTCGCAGCACGCCGTGAGCTGCGCCTGCTCCGAGCCCGACACCTTGATGCTCGCAAGGTCGTTGCCGTAGTAGTCGTAGTTGCGGACGACGCTGCAGCAGACACCCGCATTGAGCGTTTGTCCTTGGACGACGGTCACGCCAAGGGCCATGAGAAGACCGGGGATCCAACGCATTTTGATACTGGCTTGGTTGTGGCGAAGAGAATGCAACACTGAGTTTGGGACGTCGGTCGCTTCCAAATCGGCCACATAACCGTCCGAGATAGACTAGTATGCTAGATTGTATGGAGATGGCTGTGGAAGGATATGTGGCGGGCACGTTGCAGATGCCAAGATTGCTTCAACTACAGTCCAGTATACGACGTTGCAGTTTCATAGTCGATGGTTCGAACGCGCCCAAAGGTCGTCTTCATCTATTTGGCGGCGTTCGAAAAAGAGGTGGTGACAAGGGACGTACGTCCACGCCTCGTGGCGCAGAGATACCACGTCAGGCATTGGCTCCGTCATGCAGTGGATGACTGCGACCGACAACTCGATCTTGGAGTGGGTGGCTCCCACCAAAACGAAAAAATGAACACAAGCAAAGCGCTTCGTGCTAGATCGACAAGCACCGTAGCGTCAACTCGGTAGTAAAACCAGTGAGTTGCGCAATTGCCCACGTCGCTCCGATGCGACATCTGTCGAGCTCGATTCTTGGATCGTTGAAAGATGAGCTTAGGCGAAAGCATTTACCAAGTTGTTTTCATTAATCAAGAACGAAAGTTAGGGGATCGAAGATGATTAGATACCATCGTAGTCTTAACCATAAACTATGCCGACAATGGTCGTCAGCGGCGTGCAAAGGAAGAGACCCGAACGAAGAGGCAGCTCGGTTTTACGCTAACATGCCGATGCAGCACCATCGACCGTGGACTCCCGCTACCCTCATTGCTGATGGATACAAGCGCCTTGGAGACACGCTGTCAAAATGTACTTGACTATTTGTCACTTCATTGTGTCGACTGCAACCTCCACAAAAGTGTACTGGGGCCAACGAGGTGGGATATGCACAGTATGGCAGGGAGTCAACATGTGGTGACATACCTCGTGTGCTCACTCGATCGTAATTGGCAAGTCTTTGAGCACCTTGATGTTGTAGACAAGGGCAGTCACGTCGCTGAGGTTCTCGTCGACGAGGTGCATGTGGTGGTCGCCGTCCTGCACCACCAGGTAGCGTCCAATGCTGCTACTCGACTCGGTCGGGAGTGCCGTACTCTGCACGGTGGTGTGCGTGCGGTTGTTGGTGGCGGCCGAGCCGACCAAGTACTTTTTTTTGGCCCGCAGTTCCTTCTCAGGCAGTCCAAACGACACCATGTGGCTCATAAAGAACCACTGGAGCGTGCTGAGGCGGCGCGCTTTGCAGTGGAGCACCGCGGCGGTCCCTTCCATCTCGATGCCGTCGAGGTAGTCGCACACGATCGAGCTGCTGTTGAAGATGGCTTGGCGCGCAAGCGAGTTTTTGCACATCCGCTGCCAGTATTTGATATGCAAACAATGGTCGAGGCCCGCAATGCACAGCACGTTGACGACGAGGCCGACCGCGATCGCGGGCACGGCGCGGATGTAGTAGCTGTCGAATGCATCGACGTGGATAGTGTCGAGGCACTCGTTGGCGTTGTCGAGAGTCATGGTGACGCTGCTGTTGTAGTCGATGAACGCCGGCACGAAGAAGAGCAAGATCGCACTCAGATAGAGCGACGTTACGTTGCGGAGGTTGAAGAGCGCCATGACGGCACTCTCGCCGTTGTAGCTGGCCGTCCCAATGACATTCCAAGAGATCTTGAGCAATTTGAGCAGCGCGCAGTTGAACCAGAGCAGTCGCGTCGTGAAGCCGTAGAGCTGGATCGAGTAGCGCAGCACGGGGGCGGGCGCGTTGTACATGTTCATCGTCTTGAGGTAGTACAAGCTGTTTTCCATGTCGAGAATCACGCCCATCGCAAAGAGAAAGACAAAGATGTCGGAATTGTAGCAAAACATATCAAAGCGCAGCGCCAAACTCGGGTACGGAAACACCTTGGGGGACAAAATGCGCACGAGTGTAGCCAATATCGAGTCGACTTTGGTCGCGTCGTACTCTTTCCACTGGACTGTCCGACGGCTTGCAAAGTACCCACTGACAGCAAACACAATCGCCATCGATTTCACGTAATGGGACGCCGACGAAAACATTGACTGCGGCAAGTTCAAACCGACCTTGTAGATCGACCCAATGATGTTGGTGCTTTTGGTCACGATGACCACTTTGGCCGTGTCGTTGTACACAAATGTCATGTTGCACGACCCAAACCCGAGCTCGGCCACCGTATGGCACCCGGTGCAAAAGCTCTTGGGAAACACGCGATAAAAACGAACCGTGTGGGTCTGCGCCGCCGACGTGTTGGCCATGACAAAGTCTTCCATCAAGCGAACGTCGACGTTGGTGCGCGCGGGGGCGTACCCAAGGCTCGTCAGCGCCGGTGACTTCATGCTGGTGTTGGCCAGGTTCTCGGTGCGGTCCGTCGTGAACACGTGGCTGAGTGCATCGCCGCGGATGAACATGATCGAGTTGGACGCAAAACCGAGCCGAGCGGTGCGCGTGACACTCAGATCAAGCGGATACACGCCTTTCATGAGGCCGCAGACGTCGACAGCACCAGACGTCAGCGTGTACGTGCCGACCGACAGCAAGTACATTTCCGGGCTCCGTGACACAATGCTCGTCACGGTGAAGTTGAGCATCCAGTTCGCGACGCGCGAGAGGTCCGAGATGCTATGGTTGAGCGCAAAGCTGTATTCGTGCTCGAGCTGCCGCGCATTGTCGACGCGGCCGAGCGGCGCCACAAACATGTGCCCGTTCCCAATAAAGTCGTTGACGGCCCAGTTGTTGACGGTCGCGTCGACCGAGACGAGGAAGAGAATGCCAATGCCGAGTAGGATGACAATGGCTTGCACGGTGAGGTCGCCCCACTCCCGTAGAGACGTGGTCTTGAGCTTGACGAGCACCGGACCGAAGGGTTGCTGCATGCGCCTACTTAAAGGACCGGTGGCGCGGGAATAACTGGTATGTGTTTCGTAGCGTGCCTTTTATAGCAACTGCAACGCCAACTGCTTATCACCATGGGGCATCAAGGCGCGAAAAAACGAAACCCCAGGAGGGCTCGAAAATGCCGAGATGCCTTGCTGCTGTCGTCCAGTGCTGTCTCCTACAAACTACATGCTAGTACGAGATAGTATACGTGCTCGCCGTGTTGATCTATACCAGCGCAAATCAATTCTTCCAGCATGATAGTCCCACCTGCACGCAATGCACTTGAAGAGTACGTACACGTCTACTAACATCCGTGCAAACAGTCAACAGTCGACTGCAGTAGCTTGTTGCCTCTCGATATACGACAAGCGGCGATGTGCTCCATTAGTTGACACTAAGTTCGTAGTTGATGCCTCGGCAGACCTGTACTGCGTGGTTGACAAGGACCGACTTCGCGAGTCGTCGGCGTTGAGCAGTTCTATCACGTCACGTCGCAGGCAGAGACAGGCGCTGAAAAGTTGGGTGTTTTTGACTTCAAGTTGGGAAGCCCTGGTGCTTCCGACGATTTCATTGGCCCATTTGCACCAATCCGCAGAAAGGGCAATCTCGGCCGCCGACAAAGGGCGCGCCACAAGAACGTTCGAGTCATTCTTGCCTGCGAGCCGGTCGCCCACTGTCGTCTGCTTGGTCATGGCTCCGTGCGCCCACGATGACGTGTCCTCGATGCTCTCGGTGGGCCTCCGCGGCGACGCGACTGCTGCCTTTGTGCACGCGCTCACCAACAAGCCCGTCTGTCGCCGGCTCGCACCGTGGCGTCACACCCACGTGCACATCTACCGCCACGGCGGCGCGCTCCAGGCCCGTGCTGGTGGTCGGCCCGTCGACGCCCTCCACGATGAAAACGGACGCCACTGGACTCGCGTGCGCTCGGTGAGCCTTGTCGACGACCCGCATTTGCTCCTGCCCCTCCAAGCCGCCCTCGTCGTACCGTCGGAGAAGGACCTGGCGCTGCGCCAGCTGTGCACGCTGCCGACGCCGACCTGGAACACCACCGAGGCGCCGCAGATGCGCGTCTTGCAGTCGTTCGACCCGAACCCAACGGGCGCCGCGTCCGCGACGCTGCGCGGCGGTGTGGCCGTTGGTGCCATCACCCACGGCGTCTTGCGCGTCGACGATATTGTCGAGCTCCGCCCAGGACGCTTCGTCCGTGATGTGTCGAGCGGGCGACTTCGTTGCACGCCGCTACGCACGCGGATCACTGCACTCAAGGTAGCGAGCACGGCCGTCGACGAGGCCGGCCCGAGCGCGCTCGTTCGCATCGCGACGACGCTCGACCCGACGCTGACGCGCGCGCACCGTCTCATGGGACAAGTCCTTGGTCTTCCCGGGACGCTGCCACCCATCTACATGGCGCTCACTGTCGTCATGGACGTGGGTTCTCGCTTAATGTGTACCAAGGACGTTGTGCGGGTTCACATCGGCGCCACGACGGTCGACGCCACAGTTCTGTCGGTCGCTGGTGATGGCGTTCAGCTAACGCTCGCCGCGCCTGTGTGTGCCCACGTGGGCGAAACCATTGTGCTCACGCGCCGACATCACGCCCGGTGGCGCACGCTCGGTCATGGAACGCTGGCGGATGGCGAGTACGCCGATATGACTGTCGCCTGACTCGCACGCGCCTCCTGTTGTAGTATGTGCAAAGTCATGTGGACGATAAGACAAGCAACACGATGGCGCGTCGATCTATGGAGTGTATTCTTTGTTACTGCGAGCTTACTGGGCATCAATGGCAAGTGGTGTCAGTGCGGCGTCCCACGAGACTGTCCCATGTCCTTTAGCTTGGAGATTATAGATCGCAGTGGGCAGAGGAGCGCTGAACGCGTTGCCTTCCAAGCGTCTACAGTCAATGGGAATTAGGGTTAGGTACTTCGATGGTGGACCAACGTACAGCACTTCGAGCAATGAGAGAGTGCTCAAGCTCGGTGGCACCACGCCCGTCAGCGCGTTCTGGTCCAGGCGCAAGACGCGCAGTGCGCCGAGCCGGCCAAGTGTCGCCGGCACGCTCTGTGTGAGTGCGTTCGAGCTCACGTCTCTACAGAAACAAACATGAAAGTTTGTCGACCACGTCGATTGTAGTACAATTCTTCGAGAGCCGAGAGACGCGCAAACGTGGGCGGAAGGTACCCCGTGAGTCCATTGTTGGCGAGGCGCCTGCTTGGTTGGTCAGTAGGATGGAAAATATTGTCGTCGTACAAGAGGACAATGTTGCCTTCAAAATTGCAGTGCACGCCGTACCACTAGATGTGGTGACGATCAGTGCATTGGGATAGACGACGACGCGTACGCTGTCCCGGCACGGATCGCTATATGCGTCGTTGATCGGCCACGACTGCTTCCAGTACGGCCCACCAGTCGCCCAGTAGAGCATGGCAAGCGCCCCTCTGTCGTTCAGGGTCACGAGACCGCATTCTGCCAAACCAGTTGTCGCCGCGTACAGCAGCAGAGTAGTGATCGTTGACGCCGCCATGTGTATTGCCCCAGCGTGACTGGAGCCGGAAATATGCTAAAAATATGACTCCCATTCATGGCCGGCTCCAACACTATATAGATAGATAGATAGATAGATAGATAGATAGATAGATAGATAGATAGATAGATAGATAGATAGATAGATAGATAGATAGATAGATAGATAGATA